ATAAATCTCATTACCCACACTAAACAGTTTCCCAAATCTGGTGTAATGTATCACGACTGACAACCCGTTGCACGCAGTGTAACGCTGAGCGCCCAAAGTGTAGCCTCTGCGTGAGACATGATACCGACTGTCGATACGCTACAGGCCCGGCAGAGACTCACTCCCAGGCCTTAAAGCGAAAACACAGTGAACTGCAGAACCGGATAACCCCATACGAGGAATTATTCGGCCTGCTCCAGACAAAGACCGAAACCGAATCTCTCGAGATCCTCCGGAGAATCCGGTCTGGTAATGATGTCGGTTCTATTCTACGTCACGCAAGGGATGGAGATCTTTTAATCCAGCTCTCTTTAGCCCCTGAGGCTCGCCGCCGATACGAATTCCCCTATATAAACGACATGCCTCCCTCTATCCTGATATCAGACAACCTCTACCTACGCTCCTACGTCTATGAAACCACGTTTCGTGCTCCTCCTTCTCATGGCTTTGAACGTGACTCGCAACGTGAAGGGCATGGAGATGAACGGTACCTCATGCCTTACCATGCAGCTCAGGTCGTCGAGCCTAATTTCGACGACGTGAATGTCTCCAACTGGACTAACGTAACATCGGACAATCACCTGTTAAGGAAACTCCTTAATTCCTACCTGTACTATCAGCACCCTTGGACGGGCGCTTTCCATATGGATTACTTCATCAAAGACATGATTTCGGGGAAGGCCCGCTTCTGTTCATCTTTGCTGGTTAACTCCGTGCTCGCTGCTGCGTGTGTAAGTCTACTAGACAGACTATAGCTGATACCGCCATCTAACACTTATCCAGCATATGTGTCGCGAGGTCCCGGACCGTACCAAATTCTGGGTTCCCCAAACCCTCGGTTACCAGTTCTTGGCCGAAGCGAAAAGGCTCTGGGAGCTCGAAAGCCAGAGGAATACCCGTAGCCTACCGACAATACAAGCCGCTATAATACTCGGCATTGTAGCCCTCACTACGGCGATGGATAAGGTTGGCACTTCGTACTTATTGCAAGCTATGGCCATGGCGGAGGAAATGGACCTGTTTAGTGCCCACGCGGGTACAAACAACGAGGAACTACGAAGAGTACGAGCTCTTACGGCGTGGGGGGTCTATACCTGGCAAGCGTATGTAAACGAAAAACCTCCCTATACCCTATTACTTACTAACCGTACATAGTTGGCAGCGCTTCTACTTTGCAGCAACACCTCATCTCAAAAGAGCCCCCGAATACCCGCTACCGGATCCCGGGGCCGACCCCAAATTCTACGGCGAGACCTGGATTCGTTATCCGATGAGCAGTAGGTTGTATTCGGTCAACCTGGGCCATGTTGTCAAGGCAAATTTCGAGTTGCGGCACTTGATGAATGAAATGGCTTTGGAGCTATTTGAGACTGGCAAGCCGCCTCGCATGGACGTTGCGAAGGCGCTGGAGTGTAAGTCTAGGCTGGATAACTGGTTTGTCAATCTCCAAGATATCCTCTCACCTACGAAGATAGTACTTCCGGATCATATCAAAATCCAGTAAGTTTGACCCTATATCCTTCTACCAATGACCATTCTGCGGGCCGATCACACGAATGCACTATATGATTTTCTAACCATGGATTTCTTAGTATGGAATATTACGGCACGATCATCAATATTGTTCGTTTCTTGGCAGGATCCGGCTACACGTTGGATCTAACCTGGCATAACATCATCACGCACGCGGAAGTACGCCTCGAGACGCTTCTGCGCTTGTACTACCTACGGCATAGCTTCGAGTCGTACGATCCGCTACTAATGCACTGGCTGATGTTCCTGGGAGACACAACGCTGCAGAAGATAGATAACACCGGCATCGTCGCGCCCCCGGCCATAGCTGCGCTTTCGCCCCCCGTCAACGTCGAGTCCCTACGGTCAACCCTGATTCTCTGCGCCAAGGGACTTTACGACCAAGGACACAACTACCACATCGCGGTCCTCGTGTACCGGCTGCTGCGCGACCGCATGAAAGCCAACGACCTCGACCTCATGCGCACGCATATCTTCTCCGCCCAGGGTCCCGCCGACGAGGAGATGCCCCTGATGATGCAGTACGTCCAGGCCCAATGGGTCGCTCCCATCATGACGCGCGACCCCAAAGAAGCCAACCCCAGCAAAAACACGTTGGATTATCTATTAAGAGAGTACGAGAAGCTATCCCTCGACCGCAACGTCGAAGAATTGAGCGATACTAGTAGTCCGGCGTGAAGATAGGACTAGATGGGCATTGCTAACCAAAGTATATATAATTTTACATGATACTTTAGCTATTTAATCCATAGTTGTGAGATGATGCGGAATCTGACAAACATGGAGATGAGATGTTGGACAGTGCTTAAAGTGTGACTATTAGGAAAAGTGAGTGATATCAACACAATAATACAATAATACACTTGTCCTCAAGTTTTCACTCCTCATAGCCATACGTCAGAAAACTACTTGCTAGCCACCCATTCTCCACGTTATACTCATCGGCAAAAGTCGACCCGTGGAGAATCTTATAGTCCACCATCTGTCCGCAGCCCACTGTCGAGTTTCCGTCGCATTCGTGATTTCCATCCTGGCCAAGCAGACCGGCAATACGCATCCCAACATCCCGACCTTCGAACCAGGCACCGTGTAAAAACCCATAGTATTGCGCCGAGGTAGCCTCGCCAGCGAACCAGAGCCGGTCTACGTTGGCTCGGAGGTTTTGGTGCTTCTCCAACGTCATGCCTACCGGCCAATTGCTGTAAGAGCCGTAGGCCCATCTTTGAAACGGGCATCAGTTACACACGTCGTATAGGTAGTCAGGGGCTGCTCGCTTACTCTTCCGTACTCCATCGCGGATAGTGGAAATCGATAGGATCCGGGATCTCCTTGTCTGGGAACATGGTCCTAAGAACCGCCATGACCTCTGCCTTGGTCTCCTCGTCGGATTGCTGCTCGGCCCTGTATGACTGGTCGTCAACAACCGTCACGAAGATGATGTTGGAGTCTTGCATAAAGCCGGGGGCGGCGAGGGACTGCCAGACGGGATAGTAGCCTCGGGACTTGTCGTCGGCGTATAGGAAGAATTCTGTGTTGCTATCCCAGAAGGTTTCGTTGAACTGCAGGAAGATTTTGGTGTAGGTGCCCATCTGGAATTGCTCGATAGCCTCGCACTTCCATCGTGGTAACGGGGGGTCGAATTCAACTACGTTGTTCTGTAGCACCCCTACTGAAAATGTTGTAATGGCATCTGAAGTCCACGAATTAAAAATGAATACACTAGGTTAATAGGGGGTTGATTAACTGACATTCAGCTTCGATGCACCCGCCATCTTGAAGCTGGACAATCACACCGTCGGGACCGTACGAGATAGTCGTCACGGTAGTCTCTAGCAAGAGTCGCGGATCGTTCTCCTCAAGGAATTCATGCGCCTCCCCAACGACGAAGGTGTTAAAGCCCCTCTGATCCCACACGAAGTTGTTCTCGTCGCTGAACTGGTAGTAGGTTAAATTATACCCCGCGACACCGAAAAGAAGCCCGCTCTGTTCGGGCGCCCAAGCGGTCTCCCAATCCCACTCCCACCACTCGAGAGCTTGAGCGCGCATGTCCTTCTTGGGTTTCCAGCCGGCAACGCTGAATCCCGCGCGCATGCTAGTGTCTTGTAGGTTATTAGTGAGAACGTACCCGGCATCCTGCTCTACCGTCGTATATGCATTATCAAAAGTTTCGAATAGGTCGCTGAAATCAGCAACGCCGGCTCCGTCGTACGTCAATATTGAGCTGTAATTCGAATAAGTGTTGTTCAACCCATACTTCTTCGCCAGAGTCCATATCGGATTCTCAGGTCCACCCTCAGAACCCAGTCCTTGCACCCAATTCGCACCTAGTTCGATAACGTAGGGTGTCCCGTCGGGCTTCGATCCGAAATTAGTATGAGCCACTTATCCCGTGGTTAGTTAGCATATACTCATCTTGATGTTTATTTTAGATAACTACGCTGAATTTTATGTCTCACCCCTCTCTCCAGACAAGCCTTTATTTAATCCATGAACAACAACACGAGACTATGAAAATGAATGAAAATTTAATTAAAACTGAGAGATGTTATGCATACCGCGACCACCAATATAGTCGTTACGATCAACAATTAGAAAATCCGAGACAGACGCATTCGACAAGGCCTGAGCGGCCGTGATACCGGCGACTCCAGCTCCAAGTACCGCGACCGTCGTTTTGCGACACTCGGTTTCGCTGTGTTGTGCTCCCCGCGTTACCACCCTCCCAGCACACCCAAGGGGTGCAGCAAGGGCGCACAGAACAACAACAAAAAACCGCCGGTCGATCAATTGCATCGTAAACGCGCTGCTTTCCTGGGTTTAGAAGGAGTTGCGTTAAGAGAACCGTGCCGGCAACTCGCCTAGACAGAACCTTTTTATACCTAGGTAGGTTAGGTAGATAGGTAGATACCTCATATCTATCTAATATTCCCTATCAATTGACAAATGACAACGACAGCATTGATTATCACAACATCCCGCCCGAGCCCCCTGCGGCTGATAAGGCGGGTAGAGCCGAGCCAGCTGTACTGTATCTAGCTGCATCAGGCCTGAAAGCTGATGTTCTCACCCGCAGGATCTGCATGCCTAGGTCAGGTATGATAACGGTCCTTGGCTTGCAGATGCTAAGCGGCTTTCAGCAGCTCGATGTTGCACCTATCGCGACGTAAACGCGGCTCAGTTAATTCACCGGTGCAAGGGTAAAATGGTTACAGGTGTATTGTAGGCAGTCTGCGTACCTAAGTTGTGACGTTTAAGGATCAACTACGACGAGATACAAGTCCCTAATGTACCTAGGTAATGTAAAATTTCGGTATCACAACATTGGCATCTAATTAAATCTCTGGTGCTCGGCGTCGATAAATTGGTGCTAGGATTGACCAGGGCTAGGTGAACCGAAAAGGAAAAAGAAAATTCAAGATCCTGGTGGCGTTACGGTTGCATTATTGTGCGAGGCACTGCGAATCTGGATTAGTGGTATAGCGATTGTATTGACTGAATTGATGCTACTCCAATTTCTTGTGCCAAAAATCAGTCAGTCCCTACACAGCTTAGGTACCTAAGTTGCCTCGCCGGCTGCTAATATACGAAACCAACAATGAGAAAATAATTTTGGGATATCTCGTGTAAAAAGCCAGATGTCCTACCCTATAAGAAATATAGAAAATAGTCTCGTCGCTCAACTGCTAAAGTTACCTAGCCTCCTAGGCTTTATATCGATCGCCTAGCTCGCCGTGGCTTGAAACACCTATTTCCTTCGATACTAACTAGACCTTGTCATCATAATTCTTCATTCCTCACGTCGTCATATTTTGGACACGGCTGTCCGTTCAAACAAAGCGGCGGTGGCCGTTCCTGCCAGTAATCGTGGCGGCCGCTGACAGCAGAGTAGTTCAGACAGCTGGGGTTATAATGGTCCTCGACATTTCCGAAAGGCCACATCGCGACGAAGCATAACTCGTCTGCTTGGCAAGGGCCACATTCCTTCCATTCTGGCCAACGCAGTGTTCCCATTAGGTCGTGGATAATCTGCTTCGCCGCATCTACTGCTAACTGTTCATCAGCATCCGGGTCTTCAACGATAAGCTGCCGCGTCTTAAATAACGCCGTGCAGATCGTGGCAGTAGTTCTCTCAATTGCCCCGTGTATGAGCTCATCTTGCAGCGTTCGTACGCGAGCAGGCTGAAGAAAGAACTGTGCACAGCGTTTTTGCGCAGCTAAGAATCCGTTGTCGGTCTCTGCGTAGTCGATAAAGATGTTAAGGAGGCCATTTATTTCGTTCCTCATGACATCGATCGAATCCGTCTGGGCAATGAAGGGTAACCGCTTGGCGTATCGAGTAACAATCATATCCGTTACCCCCTGCCAGTCCATAGGAGCTTTTCGGGACGATACCGACCGAAGCACCGACTCGCCAACCTGTTCCCTCACGGCACTCATCTCTGCGTCGCTAGCCTGTGTTAATCGGGGCAGATCGGGTCTCTTCGGGTCCGGGTTTGTCAAATTAATCGGATAGAAGAAAGCAGAGACCACGGAAGAATAATCAAGTATCACACGGGACGAACCGATGTCTTGGTATCTCTGGGAAGCCGCCCTTGCCCACTCAAACATTGCGATTTGCATGTCATCCAGATCACCAGGCTCTTCTGTCGCCGGCCGCTGGTTGGCTGATACGAGTCTTAACCCATCTGAGAAATCGCAGTAGATGACCTCGAAACCAGGTTCCATACGTATAAACCCATCTATCTTCCACTTCCGAGCCAATGCGCACAGGCCATCGGCCCTCTCCCATTCACTAAATGAGGACCGACTTCTATTAGCTACCAGCAAGATATCCTGGGTGTCAACCGTACCCATGACTGTCTTACCAGCCGCCATGCCGTCGATGTAAAGGACATTCAGCGGCCGTGAAGCCTGGTAGATGTGCAAGTGGCCTGCTGGGGAGTGTGGGGGACATCCAGGTCGCCGGCCCTTGTCCGGCGGTGGAGGAGGATGCATAGCAAATGCCAAGGGACCTAGGCTCTGATCCCCAACGGCGTTCTTCCGGGGCGGTCCTCGACAACGAGCAAACGATTCCGCATGCTCTATTTCAAATGCAAGCCACTCAAACCCCTTAGGTACTTCTTTGGTGTTGGTTCCATGATACAAGAGCACACCTTCGGGTATCACTGCTGGAAATAGAGACATTCCATTGTGATGTAAAGCCGACCCAAACTCGCGCATCGCATTATGAAGGGCGTTGAATATCTGGGGGCCGTTCTCGCGGGCACTGTCGAGATTTGGACCGAATCCATCTGGTAAGTCAGCGTTATTAAGGGCAAGCGAAGTTGTCGCAAATACCAGCGTTGCGAGACGGAGCAGTGTGGTTGGTGACATTATCACTATAAACTAGACTACCTCCTAGTACCTAGAGTTTCTCGGCTCAAATCGAAAGAGATTTGAGTTTGGCATGCTGTAAATTAAATAGACACCAAATGCTATCAAATATATCGCTTATAACCTTTCGATGACTCCTATGTAATAAATCGGTGTGCTGTATGAAGATTAGCTCGTCTAGTATTACGCGTCACACGATACAAGGTACTTTCTTATCAGATCGTTGCAGACATAACGAAAACCCCTGGAACCTTTACCTTAGTGGCATGTGAGTTACGTAATTGTATTTAAACGATATTTCTTTCAATTGGCAATGTTCTACAACCCCCTTTTTCTAAGCTTTACTATGGGCTGACAGTATGGTTCCGCAATGATACACACAAATATCTCTACTATAATTCCTTTTAACGCGTGGCCCATGTCCACAACTTTCCTAGTGTCTGCTTAGACGTCCTTAGCACGAATTTCGCCAACTCATGATGGCCTTTCTTATCCTCCTCGGGAACTTTCATATCTTCTTCGTGGAATTTCTTGTTGGCTCGCTTTGCTATGTCTAGATATTCTTGCCGTTCGGCTTCAGTGCCGCCAAACGTACTGACAAAACCAGCGTACTTTAGGAGGAGGATGTTGAGCAGAATTCGACATATCCTACCATTTCCATCTCCGAAAGGGTGAATGCAGATGAGGCGGTGACAATATCGTCTTCCCATATCAAAGGGGTCAATCATCCCGCTCTCCTCCGCTGCGACCATATCTTTATATAGATCATCTACAAACTCCGCCATGTAGGTAGGAAAGGTGGGTGCATGTATGAAGATAGATTTTTTCTTCATGCCCTGACCGTGTCCTATAGTCCCCCGGGCTGTCCTACATCTTCCCCCAAGACCTTGCCAGCACATAACATACCATGTACCTCTCGAAGAGAGTCTTCCGTGACTAGTTCGCTATTGAGGACGATATGATCGATAGCATAGTTTAGTGCATTGGCATGATTGATGATTTGCCGACCCTGTATGACGTCCCGAAAGGAGCTTGATCGCTCCAACCTAACCAACGCAGTTCTTGCTTGTTCGTATTCTGGGCTGTTTGGTTCGACTTCGCCTGAACCTGCTCACCTCGGAAAATGGCACGACGCAACTTCTCCGTCACGTCAAAATCAGAGCCAGTGACTTCGATGAAGTTTGATGAATAGACAAGTTTATCAAGACCATCCTCAAATCGGTATTGCGAGCTCCCCAGATCCTTCGGCAATGGTGATGGATTTGTCCCTGGTCGACTGGATGATCAATGCAGGATCAGCTGAGAATTTTTACTTAGTGGCTTCTTCTCTAAGGTAATCTGAGGTCCGAATTGTAAGGTCGATTATTTCAGAATTCCCTCTAATGCTCAGCCATCTTCATCAGCCCTTACTTATTGACGTTATTAACTTTGGAATCATTTTGCAATCGGATCAAGTGCCGAAAATTTCAAGATGATGAGAGTGAGTTTAGCTACCATTGCTGCTATCCGCGTACTATTATGAATATAAAATACATACCCTCAACGCCATGCGAATTAATCACCCTAACCTTGAGCTAGTCAAGTCGCGATATAACGATTCCAGGTCGCCCACAACACCGCTGAAGATAGCGCCCTGCAGCCCTGGGTCCTCCAACTGCTCAGTGGCTAAGCCGAAGTCGCAGTCGATCAGTCTCTTGGTCGCATTTCTAAATCTCTTCCCAAGATAGGAAAGCCTTGCTGCTTTCCTGCGAACCTGCACATGATCTTCCCATGCGATGCGCTCCCAAAGCCCAATTTGAAGAAGAACTACTCCCAAAGCGTATAAGGTGATATTTCTTATACCATAGTTCTCCATGGCCTCTTGGACTAACTCTAATGGTAAAGAGTTCGATGTGTAGTTCTGCTCACCCTGCAGCGTAAGATCTACTCTGGTATCTCCTGCTGTAGATGGGGTCGCTTTAAACTCCGTAGAAAGGTGTACTGTATCAAGAGATGAGGATAAATCTTCGGTTTCGTTACAGAAGACGTATACTTGGTCGAGTGTCAACCCCTGAGGCCACCACAGCGTCGAGTGATATTTCAGCATCGATTTCACCAGCGTAATTCCGAGTTGAATACGGTCTTTGTCCGATATAATTTGATAGGTAGTGGTATCAAGAAAATCGAATAATGTTTTCTGTGACTCGAGGCTGTTGGGATCCGCTCTCAGTTGCCGTAGGCCCGGGTAGAGGACAAGCCTTTGGTTACCCTCGATGTTTAAATATCCAAGAGAGCCTTGTGGAGATGATGGACAAGTAAGCCGCCAATTCAAATGTAGGGTTTCGCACTTAATCCTTATTTGAGCCAAATCTTCGCCCTCGCCGTTGAGTACACTGGCGTATCCAATGGTCGATTTTGTTACAATCGAATTCCGATCGTCATTTTTCTTGGGAACTCGCCTCTTTTTCAAAATGATTCCTGCCATTGGGTTTGTAGCGCATGGCGAAATAATGCTGACGCACCCCGAGTCCCTACAGGTCGCATGGATAGGTATCCTAATGTAGTGCCATTAGACGATAGTATCAAATCTTTGGAATGTTCACAAACCTTCGGAGGGAAATCTTTGTTCCCCCATCGTGCTCGAAGAATATATTCACATTAGGCTCTGCCTCATCTGCAGGGTTAAGGAATAGCTTGGCACTATGACAAGCGTTGACGCTCTCACCGCAAGATGACCAGCTTTGTAATAGATGATAGAGATGCGAACACATGTTTCGAGTATTCTCATACACAGATGGCATTGTAAGACGAACCGTCTTTGTAGGACCTTGTATCTCGGCAGCTATTTTTCGGAGTCTTCTCAATTCTGCATTATAAACTTTCAGATCTCCAAGAAGTTCGTAGTAGTCCTCTTTCTTGAACACGAGTCGGAAGGCATCCCGGACCTTTTTCGACGGAGTTGCCTAGAGAAATTTTAATTTTCATTTTCATTTGGCTTGGCACGCTATACTCACTGTTGCTCCAGGCTTAGAAAAGAGAGAGAGCTTTGCTTCCAGTTTATCAATTATTCCCTCGACTTCTTGAACAGTTCCTCTGAAAGAATCGTATTTAAGGCCTAGATACGATTGTACTTTCCTCTCTATATCTTCAGATTTCCATTGGGGATGATCAGGGTCGTTCATCATGGTAGCAACGATCCGATTATCAAGTACATTGAGCAAGAGAAGATGATGCTCATCTTGGAAGCAATCTGTTTGAATCTTCAGCCTCTTCAGTACCCGTTCAACCTCTTTATGATAATGGCGGAATGCTTTAAGCTTAGAGTATAAAAGAGTTAACCCTTTGATGGCAGCTATGCAAAGGGGGGCAAATACCGAGAGCCAGCGATATTGGATCTGCCATACTTTCTATAACTTGGAATTAGAGAAGTGCGATGCTGTATTGCCGTCGTTGAGGGGGAATTTCGAAATTCAAGGCTACTGGGAATGTTGGGGCTGTGAATGCAACGTTCACAGCCCCCATCTCGGATTACACAACATGTAGAGCCTGCTGACGATTAGGTATCCAACTTCAGCAGCGGGGTAGATGAAAGAGTGAACATTATTTTATCTTCAAACAATAAACTCCATGAACGTTATTTACTACACGCATTAAGCATATATTTCTATGTCAGAAATAACTCAACTGAACAGAGAGGATCCAACCATCCGGCCAGTCTCTCGGGTGTACCAGTGGTTGTTGGATACCTCTCAGGAAGACGATGAATGCCGTGACGGAATCATAACTCGCCTTTTCAATGCAGGTCACGACCTATATACAGCTCTTATGAGGGCTTCGCCCCCCAGCAAAACTTTATCCAAGTCATTATATCGTCAACTACAAAGTGGCTATTCACACTATATAGTCTGGGCCCGTGATTACGACGTTGAAAGTGGAGGACTGGACAGTCTACTTCAGAATTCCCGGCAGCTTTATACATTTGTTGTCGAGATATTGGTCAATACGTGTGTGGCGCTACGCGATGGTATGTCTACGTTCTATCAAATGGGTATTAGATCTCTGGCTAAGCTTTCCTTATGTGCCTTCTAGTATGCATAGATACGAAGCTGCATACCGAACTCGAAAATTTATGCCGCATTGTTGGGATACTGACTGAACAGGCCTCATACATAGTTCAAGATACCTCAGAGTCTTCTGATAGCGAAAGTGATACAAGTAGCGACGAGAATCAAGACAGCAACGAAAATTTACAAAACACCATCGAAACGTTGCTAACAGAGATAGAATGCTTGTTAGACCTTGGCCCAAGATTAGAAGAACCCGTATTTGATTGTTATACCGAGGAGCAAACAGCGTCGCTAAGACCCCCTATTACCTCAGGCCCTGCTAGGCATTTCGTTGATATTGTATTAACCAAATTCCCAAAGTGCGACATTGACCTTGCTATTGCGCTAGGCCAGGCGAACTGGGATTCGACACTGAGGCTACAAGAAAAACGGAATGTTACAATTACATTAGAGTCGCCCCATGAAATTGCTGTTCATAAGCCGGCAACAATTTTCCAGGATTCCGGCCCGGGGAGTAGCTTGCCTAAAAGAAGCCTCTGTGAAACTACTATCCTCTCCTCAAATGGAGGTGACGTCAATGGAGATGAGCCTACGGGAGCAAGAATCCCGCCGCTTCCAAGCGAAAGAGAAGTAGGCCAATTCTTCTCATGTATGATATGTGGAGAACATATAAAGAAACAAAATACGAGAGTATGGAAGTAAGACTCAACCCCTATTCCTCCTTCGTCTTGCGACTACTTACCTACTATATAGGAGACATCTCCTTTCCGACCTCCAGCCTTGGATATGTTGCCAGATCGCCTGTCCATGTGACCGTAAGCCCTTTGAGACCCGGGGAGAGTGGGTTGAACACCTTTATAAGGGACATAAGAGCCATCCAGAATGGGATGATAAAACGTGCCCGCTATGCCTTATGGTCATTAATGAGGGTGGTATTACAACACTTTCCCATCTCTCACGACACCTGGAAGAAATATCTCTGGCAGCCTTACCTTGCTACCCTGAAGATGATGATGATGATGAGGATGAGGATAAAAGCATTGCACTATCACTCGGTATTGCATCAATGAGTCAGAGCAGTTTTGATGAGATTACTTCCGAAAGAGGTTTCCGCTGGATAGATCCTAGGCTATCTCAGATTGAACAACTAATAAAAGACCCGATTCCCTCTACCAACGTTGTTGATAGTACGAGTGAGAACGCGACAGAGACAGCTTCGCGATCATCCACTGGCGAGACGTACTAAGATTGTGTAGGTAGCCTACCCTTTTTCGTTATAATTATAGAGTATGTTAAAAATGCTAATTTATATAGTGCGAGTGCAAACGGGGGCAGCACTCGAAGTCGATCACGCCAGTCTGTGCAGATTGCGGTCATGCTCAATGCTCGAACTGTGCGGAGTGGTAGAGATATGGGTTGTACGATAATAGATGCTGGTCAAGAAAACGGACCACTACCCAACTAATACGAGTAGGAAGATTGAGGATGAGCTTTGGAAAGTGCTTAAGTTAAGGAGACGTTTGAAACTTTTGGCCTAGGCCTTAGAGGTAGTTTCTTATCAATAATGCTACTGCATCTTTACATTGCCATAGATTAGACGCGTAACATAACCTAGGTGAGGATTCAAATTTTACTTTACATTTAAGACCTCTCAACCACTATGTTATTTCTGAGTAAATTGTATTAAGGCTATTTATATATTCCTTCCGATTGGATCTATTATTGGTCTATGTACACTTTTATTTAGGCGTGATATATAGGTACTTTAGCTAACAGACTATGTAATAATTCAACTAATCTTACCAGTTAACTCTACGGGCGATCTTGCGAGGGGTTTCGTCACGCCCCCACAAAGTCATTGTTTGCCCTTCAGCACACTTAACACCAGAGGCCATTTGCATAACTGTAGACCACGAGCCAGAAGCGCACTGCTGGTAGGCGGTTCCACCAATACAGTTGAACATCCCTTCCGAAGTACACGGTCCCGTAAGTCCTCCGGAAGAAGACCCGGTGCTGGGAGGGGCGCTACCCGCGGGACTTGCGGAACTAACTGCAGAACTAGCGGCGGAACTGACTACAGAAGTGGGTGCAGAACTGGCTGCGGAGCTGACTGGAGAACTAACTACAGGCGCGGCCGAGGAGCTCTGAGCAGCGGTAGCACTGCTGCTGCTGCTGCCACCGTTGCCAACGGGAACAACTGTTATGAAGGAGCTGGGAGCGGCGCTAGTAGCTGTGGCAGCGCTGCTACTTGGGGCGGCAGTGCTAGAGCCAATGTTCCCGTTGCCACTACCATTACCTCCACCGTTCGCACCATTATTAGGAGTATTTTGGCCAGCGGGATCGGCACCTCCGCTTGATCCACCAGACTTAGCACCCTTAGGAACACAATTGTCGCCTTGGACTTTGGCGAAATTGTTATTTGAACCCGGCCGGATGACGTTAGGGCCGGGGTCGGGGTACTGGGGGTCAGTGCTAGGTTCTGTCTTACACGAATTGATATCGGCAAGATTACCTACGAAGAGCTCGGGGAACTGGCCATCGCGAGCGAAGAGTTCCATGGTCTCGTTATCCGACCGCTTGGACTTCCCTCCTGTCACCGTGATAGGCGCACAGTTCATGTAATACTCCGGCTGACCCGCGAGTTTACTGATCCAAGTCCAGGCAAAGACGTATTTGCCAGGTGCTACTCCGTCTGGAATCTTGAAGTCATATGTGTCAGGACCTTGGCCGGACTTGCTTGGGCAACCGCCTTCGATGGACAGGATAACTTGCCAAGATGTAGATACGCTAGGCTGAAGGTCTTTGGTGATTGCCAACTGACAACTTCCACCTCCATGAACCGCTGAGCCTTTGAACGATAGGGTCTGACTCTCCCCCACAGCCATTGTATTATCGAGGCCGGAGGTGGAATAAAATGTGGCTGGATCGCCCTTTAACTTACACGGGAAGTTACCTGCAGTCAAGGGAGAGTTGTCAAGGTCAGGGCCTCCGAAGGGTTTCGGGGTCTGCATGATCATGTGGCCATTAGATATGGCGAGGAGTTGGGCCAAGGCGGCCGCGACTGAGAAATATTTCGTAAACATTGTGATGTTTTTTATAATTTTGTCGTTTGCAAAAAGAACAATAAAAAGTACCAGACTACTGTTGATGTATTATGAGGCCAGCTCGCTTGAGGATAGTATGTGTATGTGTATGTGGTATTAATAAATGTCGATAAAAGAAGAATAGTATACTCGACTCCAAGGTAAGACATGATCTTGTGTTTTTATACATTTTTAGAGACAGCTGTCGTTCTAGAACAAACATACAACGATTGTTGTTCTCGATAAAGCGCGGGACACAAAGATAGTCCTGGAACTACTTACGAAAAGCAATGAGGAGCAATGATAGATATGCATGGGCATTGTTTCAACTTCTAAGGGTAAACTACGAGAAACATTGAGAAACTACGAGGATACGCACAAAGACATTGTTCACTTCTGAAGTTACGTGCTACGATCATCCCATTCAGTTGTGTTTAAGTCCTAAGGCCAGCCCTAAGTTGGCTATCTAGGGATCTATCTCTAACATAAGAAAGCACCCAAATATCCTAGATAAGGAGGGCTCTGTGGTGGTATCTTCATATTCAAAGGTTGGAAGTCCTCGGCAAGGCATTCTCACTAAGACTTTACAAACCCCAACTAAGGCTTGAGTACCTTTATCCTGGGTGAAAGGGTTTGTAATGAGTTTTAACCAATAGTGTATGTTTAAAAATATTCTACACACAAGTGTACTTTACTCTGCCTCTATGGTTTTCTCATTATGTATTTAGATACCTAAAATAAAGCAATGGTTATCGTCTCTGAATAAGGCACCTCCCATTTCTAAGTGACATGGCCTAGATGAATAATAGGGGCTGCCTTGCCAAATACCGAATATGCTACTAAGAGGTATATTCCTTTGCCAAGATATAAGATACATCGGTGTAACAAAACTGTTACGTATAATAACGTCATGGGAACAAGGTTGATGCATGCAGCTAGTTCTCAGGGACCTCGAACTTTAAACTTAAAGGGTTTTAGACTGTGTGGCGTACCTAACCTAAACTTCAACATACACACTTACAACTATCTCTAATCACAACCTACTGTATCCATCATCGCGTTGAGAGCGTCACTTTCAAATGAATCACGATCGATATGGTAAGTACTTAAGACTTTTGATTTAAATATTACCTGTTATTGTCTTTGGGCCGAAATGTAGCACGCGATCGCCCTTTAGCTGTGAACTAAGCTGACTGTAACCTTCATCATCTAGGCTAATGCGTCAACACCTCTCCTCAACGGCCACCGCTATCCCGATGCTAATTTCGACGCGCTAAACGACTCGGAAGAGGATGCGCTTCGTGGACAATCTAGGGCTACACATTCTGGTCGGTCATGGCATACTAGGCTACGAGAGGCTCTGTTATTCGCATGGGCCCTCCTCGCGACCGCCGGCGTGCTTATTCTCGCTATTTGGGTATCGCATCAGCAACAAACATCATCCGAGAAACCTGCCGGCAAGCGTAATTTAATCTTCATGGTCTCCGACGGTATGGGTCCTGCTTCGCTGTCCTTGACCCGTAGTTTTAGGCAATATACCGAGGGCCTCGAGTACGGTGACACACTCACCCTTGATAAGCATTTCTGGGGCAGTAGCCGAACGCGAAGTAGCTCCTCTCTAGTTACAGACTCGGCCGCTGGAGCGACGGCATTCAGTTGCGGGATGAAGAGTTATAACGGCGCTATTTCGATGCTACCCGATTCAACACCCTGCGGAACTGTACTCGAAGCTGCTAAAAAGGCCGGATATAAGACTGGACTGGTTGTCACCACAGATATAACCGATGCAACTCCTGCTTGCTTTGCTAGTCATGTTGATGTACGTCAACAGAACGACGATATTGCCGTTCAAGAAGTCGGAAATGGGCCCCTTGGTCGTGTGGTGGATTTGATGTTTGGAGGCGGACGATGCCACTTCCTTCCGAACGGAACCGACGGCGCATGTCGTGCAGACAATATTGATGTAATAGAAATGGCAAAGAAAGACTACGGCTGGAACTACATCAACGACCGGGCAGCATTCGATGAATTCTGGGAGGGTAAGAAGGAAGTCCCCCTTCCGATGCTGGGACTTTTTGCCCCAACAGATATTCCATTTGAGCTGGACAGACGAAACATGAACGACATCTACCCCAGTCTGAGCGAAATGGCGAAGACAGCCCTGAGAGCTCTCGAGAAGGCTACGGAGGACAGCGACCAAGGGTTTTTCCTAATGATCGAGGGTAGTAGGATCGACCATGCTGGTCATGGGAACGATCCGGCCGCACAAGTGCGAGAGGTCCTTGAATATGACAAGACATTCAAAGCTGTATTGGACTTTTTAGACGAGAGCAAGACTCCAGGAGTCCTGGTTGGTACTAGTGATCATGAGACAGGTGGATTATCGGTAGCACGACGTCAGTATATCTTTTCTTCAAGACTGGTGGGTAACCTTGGCTAACTTTGCTTTCAGAGGTAAACGTTGACTATCCGCAATACTTGTGGTATCCCGCTGTATTGGCCAACGCCTCGTCGTCTTCAGAATATCTCGCTCATCGCCTTCGCGAGCACCTTGCACATTCCACCGATCACTCCGTCGACAAGCTCAAGAAGTCTATTAATGAGGAATTTGTTAAGCCCGGCCTTGGTATTTTTGATGCCTCCGACGCAGAGCTCACGATGGTAGCCTTGAGCCCAGAGCAAGCTCAGTATTCATTCGCCCAGATGATCAGCGTCCGCGCACAGATCGGATGGAGCACTCACGGCCACTCGGCTGTCGATGTTAACATCTACAGTTCTGGCGGTCCCGGGGCGGAAGCGATTCGGGGCAACGTAGAGAATACTGACGTAGGTAAATTCTTAAGGGATTATCTTAACGTCGACGTCGACGCCATTACGAAAGAATTGAACAAGAAGATGGGTTCGAAGCGAAGTTTTGGAATCAGCCATGAGATTGCCACAAATGGAGTCGGTGAAGACCACTGGGCAGCCCATGAGGAGATGGAGGCCCAACGCCGTTGGTGAGTGTGGACCATAAGATTTAAGCGTAAAGAAACACTTGGAGTTGGATTTTGGGGTTAGAATTTGTCCTTTGAATACGGATTTATCAGAATACACCAGGGGAAATAGCAAACGAAGCATCGATACCCACTTGCGGAGAATATATAGTCTGCATTAAGATTTCAACAAGACTGGTAGACGGCACAATATTTATCATAAGTTACAGTTGAGCAAACTCCAGGAACTTGCAGGTGACCTGAAGCTCTGTCACAGTGTGTATAACCACGCAGACGTTTCGTCGTCCCGTGGGAAACATGTGGGAAACACATCGGGTATTAGCAGGACGCCACGCGCGTATCACCTTACGGCACCGGATTTCAGACGGGCTTCTAGTAAGTAGCACAGCTAGGTTGCTTGCTTGAGTGTTGAAGTGAGGCTCGTTAGATCTGGTAGTCTACCTAATAATCGTGACCGCATTAGATAAAGAACAGGAATTAAACCATTTATTTGTAAGACGCCACTAATAGTACTAGTCTTCCAGGCCAGGCCGTCTGGATTGTTGATTCACCGCAGAAGGCCCTTCGTTATTAAGTATCTACATAGTGGAGAATAGTGAGCATGAGGCAAGGCTGTCGAAGCTACCACTATTATACCTGTATTACCACAGGGAAACTGTAGATGTGTGGTACCCGTAAGTCCTACGATGGGGTATAAGAACAAAGGAATATAGGTGGTGTTATGTACCTATCAAATGATAAGAGTTTCCGCCTGGGCCGTTTAATCTCTTGATTCAAACCTAGCATTGTATTGTGGTGGCACTTGGGGGTGGAAACAGATGCGGCACCCTTTTTTCTTAGTCTTAGCCTTATTTATCCTCAATCAAGAGTAGGTGGGTAGGTGAAGCTCTACGATCATAATAGGGAAACGACTAGGTTAGGTCATTGTAGCTGTGGGTTGTTAAAGCTCTGATTCACATTACATTACTCCTTCGGTGGGATATTAGCTAGTTACAAAAAAAATTTGTGAAGTAGTTTGAGGTTTAAGGAGAGATATCAGGTACCGTTGAGTAGGTAGGTTACGTAAGGTAGAAGAACACGAAGCGTTTGTCTGTTTGACTCTGAAGCTGCCTGTGTTTTTGACAATGTAGTCTTCATGATGCCCCCCTCTGTTTGGTTTGATATAAGAGGTACCTAACCTAACTTACAAATCTGCTGTTGGCAAGCACAGATACCACGATTGCCTCTTGCAGATGGATTCAAGGGCTTCGTCCTGAATGAAATACATCTTTCAACTCTCCAAGCAACCAACAGGTACAAATGCCACGCGACAACCCGACTAGATGAACGAAGAAAACACGGTTCCCCCACAACCGCCGTGTTTATTCATGTATATTCTAGGTCATTAGTCGTGGTGCACAAGAGCTCATACCTTCAGTAGTTAATACCATCATACTTTCCTATGTGTCATCAAGACACGCTTCTTGATTTCAACTACTTACTCAACCCATTCATCCGGACTAGAATCACACACCATACATACAAGTACATTACTGCACCGTTATGAACGCCTCAACCTTGGCAAGACAGCAACAAAGCTCACCCGTGGCACCCGTTCCTAGCTAGAACCTGCCAGACCTTGGAACAAAATCCAGCAGTCCCTAAACCTGACCAGGTAGAGAGAGAAATAATTCTCCAGTCGTCGATACAACACACCAAGCTTCTCAGCTCTTCTTGAAACCCCTCCTAATCCATCACAACTATTAATACGCACCACCCATTCAAACCAAAGAAACCACCGACAGCAACAATGTGCCAGTACATGTACGTCATCTACCGCTGCGCACATACCGAGCTGCTGGCCGGGCCCAACTGCACCTTCCTGCTCAAGCAGTTTTCCCGCATCCACCAACCCGAGGCCTGGACCCCCGAGGGCCAACAGACCCTCCCTTTCGAATGGCCGAACGCATGCCTGCCTGGCGACCACAACACAATCCCCGTGCCTTCCGACAAGTGGTGCGGCTGGGAGTGCCAGAACACGTTTGCCCCGGCGCAGCCTACGAGTAACGGGATCACCTCCTTCGGTGGCCAAGTTTCGCCCGTAACCAACAGCGCGGTCGTGGCAACACAGGCCGGCTGGCAAGGAAATAAGTACCAGAGCGCGTATCATGAGTACAAGCCTCCTAGCTACCACGCTAACGATAACGGCTATATGAACCAGTATGATGGCGCGAGTGATGTCCCAGGTTCTTATGCCTTTGGTGCCTATCCGGCTGTCGGAGCCATGGATAAGTCCAGCGCGGCGCCTATGGAATTAGGAGCCACTCGTATGACCACGGGCGGTGCAATGACAGACACGGATCCTATCTTGCCAAGTATGGAGACAGGAACGAACATGATGGGGGCAACGGGAACATTAGGGATGTTGGGAGCGCAGTACGGAGTACCCCGAATAGGGGTAGGTTGGAGAGATGAAAAGGATGAAGTGAAGATCATTGGAGACTGGTGGAAGGATGGAGATGTTTTTAACTAGGGATTTGAAACTTTGTGTCAAGGACGAGTATAGAGTCCAAACGGACTAGCAGGCCCTGCTTTTCTCATTAATGAGTAATTAGTCGAACGATATATTTCTTCGTGTATAATGTGTAGAGACCAAAGATTCTCCGTGCTTATGAACGAAAATGCTCCTCTTGATCGGAATTACACATTATAACTTCCCGAATCCCCCGCTCTGAAGATATTATTGTGACATTAGGCTTAGACTACCTTCAAACATCGTATTGTGAATATAACTAGTCGGAAACGTCGGAAAAGTCCGTCTCGTGGAGCTCGTCCGGGTCCATAAAATAGGCAATTTCGAGCCGACCCTTGAGATTCATGAAATGCTTTTGTAGCAGAACGGATTCATACGCCGTGAGTTTGCACTCGCCTAACTGATTCAAGATATCTATCTTAATTCCTGTTCGGCCTCGGGAGATAAGCCTAGAGACAAAGTCACGTAGACCTTGGAAAGTGAAAGAAGAGAGAGAGCTGATGCAGAGTAACTTGAGCTTGGGAATGGCGCTTAGAGGAATTAATACGGGGTTATGTAAGAGGTTGCCGCTGAAGCTAAATTCGGATAGATTTGGTAATGATGCCGCGATACGTTCTACGGTGTCCTCCGTGAGATGTACTTGCATTAAATTCAATGACGCCACATTTTTAAGCCGGCAAATTGAGTCTACTAGTGGTGGCTTTGCTTCGGCTATTTGACCGTAGCCGAGTTCATGTAGACCAAGAGTCAGAGACTCAAGACGATCCTGAAGGCCAAGCGCAGTCCAGGTAGCGGTATCCTCTACCTCGGTTCCCGAGTGAATAGATATTAAGGACAAAGACGTGAGGCGAATGTCGGGCGAATTTAAAATATCCTTGACCACTGGATCGGAACCAATAAAATGCGAGAGACTGAGATCTCGAAGAGATTTGCATTTGCAGATCCATGCGGAAACCTCTTTGAGTGTGTCCTCGGGGTAATCCGCCGGGTCCACCAAGTGATACCGGTCGTTCTCGATTAAAAGAGTCTCTAGGGATGTACAATCGGGAAAGGAGTTAAGGGCCTTCATAGCCTGCGGAGTAAGATTTCGAAGTACGAGACTTTGAAGAGATGCTGCATGGTAATTGAGTGCCGTTAAGGCGTTTTTCCCAATTGAATTCTGGCTTATTACTTCAAAACTACGTAAACTGTTAGGACGTAGCGTTTGGAAAAATGCGGCCAAATCTTCGTCTGCAGTAGGGCTTGAATCTACTATTTGTTAATATCGTAACATAGGACTTGATCGAAAAATATAATAAGGGCAGGAATTGATGACATACTATAGACAGGTTAGCATCTACGGACACCAGAAATGAAACTGACCGATAGCATTCAAGCATACCAATAATAACATGTTACATCGGCAAAGCGTGGACAGTATTCGGAAATAGCACTAGCCGCTTCAACGCCGAGGACGGATCCGTCTCGGATACGCAAAGACGTAAGGGTTCCAAGCCGTGCTATCCAAGTCGGTAATATATGGTGTGGAATATATGTGCCCTCCAGATGTGCCAAAGACACAGCGGTCCCCGTATCGTCTGCTAATCTCTTGATGTATTGGGTAATGGAATCCGCGCACTTGATTATCGTAGCTTGGGTATCCATGGGTGGCAATTGGGCTTCATGAGTGTTCGCAGATGCTTTTAATACAAGAAACTGCCTCATTGCGCCCCCGAAGAATATATCCCGGGCATATTTGTCCCGGCTGATATCTTGGAGGCATTCTTCGAGGTTGCCGAGGAACAGAGCGCGGACGTAGACGCAATATGGGAACGCGGTTTTCTTAATACTTGAGAGGATAATAGACTTCCATAATTGCAGCCATTCTAGTTTGTAGATGGGATCACCGGTGCTTACGGGAGAATACTCTTGAATACTTCCCACGAAGAAACTGTTAGTTCCTAATTATAACTTCCCAACAGTGTAAGACTCACCTATATATCTGCTCTAATGCAATGCTGGCAATTCGGCGGTTAACAAGTGAGCAGTTGAACAGGGTTCCGAAGTCGCGACGCGCAGCAAGCTCTTCGCATAATAATAGGAAAATCTCTTGAGGGAGAGCCGAGGACTTCATGTTTGAATGATTTGAATTGGTATGATTGCCTATTGTATTGGAAATATGATATTGCCTAGAAAAAAGAGATGGATGAAATGTAAGATGTAGGTATGGACCTACCCAAGGTTAAGTAGTTAGGTACCTGTTTTGTTAGTAATTCATGGAACGTAAAGCAGCTGCAGCTTGCATTTTAGACTGCTATCCACAATGTGTAACTCCAGCCATTTTTACTGTTTAGTACTTATTAGTACACTATGAATTAGTATAGAAAATTTGTAGAGATACAAGATACGAGCTTGGGATAACTGCTAGCGACACTGTGCAGATGAAAACAGCTTAACTTAGGTACTTAAGACGGGTAGGTACCCCGCGACGCGTCTCGATAAGCTTAACGCGACTGAGTGCCAACTTCCTTAAATTGGGAGCGAAACCAAGACCGGGGATATAGCCTAGAAAGTGGAAGCTGCTGACTTATATTTTTTAGTGTTTCGTCAACGACCATTCATCTCTTGTCTTTCTAGACGTCATAATAGCTCTTAAACACTTACATCAACCATCATTTCGATCAATAATCGACTTTCGAAAGTATCCAATTTATACACAACGCCATAGGGGCCCTTCTTCGGATGATCATGCCTGTATTAAATTTCACTTTAAGTGAGGAAGGGGTCAGTAGCCTAAGAGATGCGTTGACATGTCTCGGTAAATTCAGTGAAGAAGTTTCTCTTGAAGCGAGGAAGGACAAAGTAAGCTTCATTGTTATCCTAGTCTGGCTAATACTTCGCTAAAATCGGGCGCATAGCTTGTCTTTACCACCCTAAATCCTTCTAGAACGGCGTATTTATGTTTCTCCTTCGTAGCTCATCGCTTCTTCTCGAAATACCATTTTGAAGGTGTACCCCAAAATCGAGAGAAGTTCTTTTGCAAGCTTTATATTCGAGTACGTTACCTGCTTCAGAGTTGTTACTTCTTTTCTCTCACACGAATCTTCCTAGGCCCTGCTGTCTATTTTTAGAGCTAGAAGTGGCGACCCTTTGCACGACAGGGAAAAAGATACTACTATTGAACATTGCGACGTGGCAATAGTAGACGAACCTGGCAAGAAAAGCAGATTTATTGCTAAGATTGTGTTCCGTAATGGTAGGTAATCTTTAGTAATAACGATGCCCTTGTCTGAGTAGTTAGCTAATAAAAGCGTAGGTATAACTACCAAATACAGACTACCTTTTGAACCTACTCTGCCAATCCACGGTAAATTTGATAGGGACCAAGCATCAAATCGTTGGTCTATTCCGTCTCGGACCCTACGTCATATTATGGACTATTTTGGTCCCGGCATAGAATACCTTGATTTCCATTCCGAGGACGACGAAACTGTCAACTTTACTTGCTTCACCGAAAAGGTTAAGAATGGGGAAGAAGTTTTGAAGAAGCCTCTTCACACGTCTATTGCCGTCGAACGGGATGAATTCGAAGACTTTGATGTTCAGGAGGATAAGCTGCATATCGTAATCAGCGTAAAAGATTTCAGGGCGATTATCCAGCACGCGAATTTCCTCGGCAGTCAGATCTCGGCATACTACTCAGTGCCGACTAAACCGCTGCAGCTGAAGTACGAGGGCGATGGGATCAAATGTGAATTCCTTCTGATGACGGTTGGCGAAAGGGGAGCACCCGGCCAGAAGACCAAGAAAACTCGCGGTAGCGCCAAAGGACCCAAACCGCCGCAACTTGAAGCTGCTACTAGTAGGGCTGCGTCGCATGCGCCGACGCCAGTTCCAAGGATGCCCCCACAGCCACAAGCACCACGGCCCGACCCCGTACCTTCTCTCAGACCATCCATTGTTCGTCCATCACAGCGGCCGCCTCCGGCCACATTTGAGTCTGAGTCGCTCTTCGTCCCCCAAGACGACGAGCATCAATGGGATCCTGTGAATGTTGGTGGAGACGAGGATGAGGAAGAGAACGCCCGATTAGAATGGGATGTTAGGGGTGACTTCGTAAGTATTTCTTCTAACCAAGTCGTTTGCGTTAACGTGGCTAATATGACCGTAGCATGCACCAGCGACGAATGCGAGGTCCATGATGACAAACCGGAACACTCAGGAATCGAGGTTCAATGATGCCACTGAAGACACCCCCTCGCACCTTGAACCAACTCAACGCCTCTCGCAAGTTCGGAGGTTCGGCCTCTTCGACGATTAAGGAGCTATATGAGAGCAACCCTATTCATACTCGTCGTGGCTAGATGTGTGATATTTGAGCTTTGACTATATAGGTACAAAATTGTACCAGAAGTCTAATCACGGAAGGTAGCAGCCTAGAGAAAGACTCCATCTGTTGTGATATTGATCCAACTTGTAGCACACCCGGCTCCGATCGTCGTAATTTGAGACCCCTCTGGTAAATGCTTCAATGACGCAAGCACGTTCCATCGCCCCTTAACATCTCCGAATTTCTCGGTTTGCGGTCCACAATTTCCATGCTCTCCCCAACCCCATGATAATATGTCACCGCCCTCAGTCACAGCTAGAATATGCTCGCTACCAGCAACGATGCTCTCTAACTTTGGAAGTCCCGGGGGCGGCAGTTGTCCGTGATCATTTCGACCCCATGCGGTTATAGTACCATTTCGTTGTAAGACGTAAATACCTCCCCAGCTTGCACTAATCGCACTCCAATTGGGTATCTCAACAGGGGCGGCGCTTTTCAATTCCCATTTATCTGCTCCTAGGACAAGTATTCGGCCATCCCCGGGCTCACTGATAAGACAAGTCGTGTATTGACAACAGACTGCCTTAGCCGCCTTAATGGAAATCCCGCCAAGCTTACGCGGATGGTATACTACACCTTTTGAATCGCCTTCGTTACGCAACTCCCCTAACTGGCCTTTGCGTCCGTTGCCCCAGCCGTAGACATCTCCATTGTCCAATACAGCAACAACATGCCTGAAGCCGGCAGCCAAGCTCTGAATCTCTGTCCCGAAAGGAGGGAAGTCCTTGAGCAGAATTGGACTTAAAGCAGATTCCGAACTTATATTGGCAGTCCCTACGTCAGGGACTCCGCATACGTACACGCGTGTAGCTTTCCCACTGTCACCTCTAAGCACGAAGACAGACGAGTCCCATGTACAGGCAACGTGAACGACGGGGCCGTGGCTTTCGGGAATTGAGAGGACCAGCTCATGAAACTTGGATGCTTTCGCATTCTTAGCATCGTCCACGATCCCGCAGGCGCCGCTTGAAGGGTCGCCAGCCCAGAAAGCCTTCCCTCGTTCCGTAACTATAATTGTGTGGTTTCCCCCTGCTGCAATCGTTACAACGGGGTCCTCAGGAGCTTCGCCTGCGAACTCGACTTGCTTCGGGACTGATACGTCCTCTTGGTGACCTATGCCGAGCTGGCCGGATCCGTTGGAGCCGAGCGCGAAGAGACCTTCCATGATAGCTTATGTATAGCACAAGACCTCTCCTATATACGCGCTTCTTGTAATATCAGGTCATCCTCTGTAGCTTAGAGCAGCTCTGACTCTTCCAATTTTATCTGATTCTTTTATCTGATTCTTTTATCTGATTCAATGAATGCGAGAGCAAATTGTTAGGTGATTGATACTTCCCAAGTACCTAAGTACCTAACCCCACAAGCCACGGATCATATATGGTTCCGAGAATAATCCGGGGCCCATATTATTGGGTGCACTGGTCCAAGCTCAAGCTCCACCTAAATTTTCTGCTTCTATTAAAGCGTCAATAAAAACTTTTTTTTACCCTCCTTCATATTTTCCATCGCCAGTTTCTAAACCCAACGTTTCATTGCCCGCTCTGACCTACGAGCTACCAGATCGAGAGTTCGAGTTACTTGTGCTAGGTGTCCAGCATGTAATCACTCTGCTCTTGAATCCTTTATTCAGGTGGTCAATTCTGGTAGGAGAGATTGGAACGATATCATGGCGACCGACAGCAGCTCTGTTGTGCCACCCGACATGGAGAAGTTCATCGTCGGTATCATTGGTATGGGCGACATGGGGAAGATGTACGCGCGGAGGCTTAGCGATGCTGGTTGGAGGTAAGAAATCGCTAGTACGACTGCAATTTGCTGTCGCGCTTAGGCTTCCGTGAATTTATTTTTTGGTAAGTCGCCTTCTATTTTATACCCATACAAGTTTCCTCGCAAATGATGACTTGAGTGCATTTGGCTCGAGCATTGCCCTCGGCTTCCAGGCGGTCATTCTGATTCCTGGTAGTCGTTGGCTTTCCATGATGTAAATTCTCAGCTACCTTTAAAATTTTTGTCTGAAGCGCTTTCACAATATCACATTTTTTATTTGACGCATTTTATTACGCCATAGGCTAACTTGCGATGTATAGGTTTTACTAAGTGCCAGCACGAAACGTAATCCTAGAAATACTAACTACCAATGTTCATAGAGTAATGGCTTGCGACAAGGAGGATCAATATGAGAGCTTGCGTGAAGAATTTACAAGTCGGGTACATATAATATAGTAATCCATTCTCAGGAATCCATGCTGAGAGGTTTCCAGAGCAATATACAAATTCTCCGAAATGGCCATCTTGTATCTCGCGCGTGTGACTACATTATTTACAGCGTAGAGGCTGCGGCGATTGACCGCGTCGTTGCCGAGTATGGCCCTTGTACGGCGTCTTGATGTATCTGAACTATTTGAAATATGGCTTACAAAGTATACATAGCAACAAAGCTTGGTGCCATCGTAGGTGGGCAAACATCGTGCAAGGCCCCTGAGATTAAGGCATTCGAAGACCACCTCCCGGCCGACGTGGACATAGTTTCTTGCCATTCCCTCCACGGCCCCAAGGTCGACACGACAGGCCAACCATTAGTACTGCCCCTATTATACCTACCTACCTTACCTAGCACCGCTTACCAAAAGTCAGGTTATTATTAGGCATCGGGCTTCTGATGACTCCTTTAAGAAAGTCGAGAACGTCCTTAAATGCTTACATTCGACACACGTGTACCTATCAGCACACGAGCATGACCGCATCACGGCAGACACGCAAGCTGTAACTCACGCAGCGTTCTTGAGCATGGGCAAGGCGTGGCATTCAATGCGGCAGTTCCCCTGGGAGGGCGCGCGCTACGTCGGCGGCATCGAGAACGTCAAGATCAACCTAACCCTGCGCATCTACAGCCAGAAGTGGCACGTGTACGCCGGTCTCGCCATCCTAAATCCAGAAGCTCGTAAGCAAATCGACCAGTACGCGAAGAGCGTGACGGAGCTGTACAAACTCATGTTAGGCGGACACCTCGACGAGCTACGAGCACGCGTCCTAGCCGCTAAGGAGAAGGTATTCGGCAAAGAGCACAAGCCAAAGTGGGCCGATAAGCCACTGCTAAAGGACGAGGTCCTAGATCAGTTCACCCTAGGGGGCGCGCGAGCAGAGCCCCAACAGCCGCTTCCTAATAACCACCTCAGCCTGCTAGCCATGGTGGACTGCTGGAGCGCGCTGGGCATCGTGCCGTACGACCACATGATCTGCAGCACGCCGCTGTTCCGGCTCTGGCTCGGGGTGACGGAGCACCTGTTCCGGGACGCGGGGCGGCTGGACGCGGCGCTGCGGATCGCGGTGGAGGACAACACGTTCCGCAGCGACGACCTCGAGTTCACGTTCGCGGCGCGCGGGTGGGCGGAGTGCGTCGGTCTGGGACACTTCGAGACGTGGAAGGAGCGGTTCGTCGTCACGCAGAAGTTCTTCGAGCCGAGGTTCCCTGGCGCTATTGAGGTCGGGAATGCGATGGTGAAGGCGGTGCTGGAGAGTACTAAGGACTAGGACGCTTAGGGGTGGCATGGGGGGTTTTTTGTGTATGAGTTCGCGAGAATATATTGAGCACTGCGGTTGTGTTGTTATGTTGTTGTGCCATTGCGATGAGCAGTCCGAGACCGGTTTGATTAACGAAGCGTATGTTTTCGATATATGTTAAGCATATATTTCTGCGCATTATGTACAGGTAGGTAACCTTTAAAGACTTACTTAAGGTGAGTGCCTTAAGTTTACGAAGGGTTATTGTGTTGCATTTTTTTTTACGCTAAGGACTTATATTACCTTTTTATTTAACTTAAATAAGAAAATAAAACTATTAAAAATGAAAGTGTTTTAATTATTTTTTCATGTATTAATTAAATTTATTTTAATAAACTTAAACTTTAATTTAAAAAGCTTTTTTTTTTTTCGTTATAAACGTTATAAAACTTTTAATTTATATATTTATATTTATAAATTAAAAATAAAACGTTTTTTAAATTAAAGTTTAAAATCGTTATAAAACCGCATTTTATTAACGGTAAAAATTTAATAATAAAAAATTAAATATTAAATTTATAATAATTTATTATATAATAATAACGTATAAAATACCTTTTATTTTTATAATTTAAAGTTAATATTTTACTTTTTTTATTTTTTTATTTTTTTTATATATTTATACGATATTACGTTTTTATATATAAAGTTTTTACATTAAAATTTATTAATAATAAAACATTAAAACGTTATAATTAACATTATAATTAATAATATAATTAATAATATAATTAATAATATAATTAATATAACGTATAAAAATAAAATATTTTTTATTTTAACTTTATTTTATTTTAATATTTTATTTTATTTTAATAATATTATTTTTTAAATTTTTTCGTTTATTATAATTATTATTATTACGGTTAACGTATTACGGTTAATACGTTATAACCGATATTATATAATTATTATTAATAATATTTATAATAACGTTTATAATTAAATATAAAATGTTATAAAAGTTAATAATTATTATTTAAATTTTTTTATTTTTTTTATATATTTATACGATATCGTTTTTTTATATATTAAATTTTATAACGTATATTATAATTATTATTATAACCGTTATAATTAACGCGTTATAATTATTTTAAAACTTAAAACGTATAAATTTAATCGATAAATTTAATAAAAAACTTAATATTTATTATATAATTAATTATTATTTATTTTACACGTATTAATATTATTATTTTTAATAATGTTTTTAATAATATTTTTTTATCGTAAATTAATTTTTTATTAAATAATTATTTATAATAACTTTAAATTAAAATTTTAATATTATTTTAAAAAATTTATACGAGTTATAATTAATTAAAAATTAATATAATTATAAAAAATACATTTTTTTAAATTAATATCGAAATTTAATTTAAAATCATTTAAAATAAAATTAAATGTTTTATTTAATAAAATGGATTTTTTTTAAAATTTAATTAAATGTATTTAAAAATAAAATAAGTTTAATTAAAATTTTAATAAAAGTTATTTATATAATAAAAATTAAATTAATTATAATTACGTGATTAATTATAATAAATTTAACTTAATAATTAAATTAATTATAATTATAATTATATAATTAATTATAAAGTTTTTAACTTAATAATATTACGGTTTTTAATTATAATAACGTTAATAAAAAAGTTAATAAAATTTAATTCGTTTATAAATTAAATAAAAACGCGGCGCGTAAAATGTTACGCTTTTATTTACGTAATAATGCGTAAAAAAAAAAATGTAAAATTAAAAATTTAAATCGTAAATTTAATTTTAAAATAATATAATTAAAAAAAGTTATATATAATTAAAAAAAGTTATATATAATTAAAAAAAATTATATATAATTAAAAAAAGTTATATATAATTAAAAAAAATTATATATAATTAAAAAAAGTTATATATAATTAAAAAAATTATATATAATTAAAAAAGTTATATATAATTAAAAAAGTTATATATAATTAAAAAAGTTATATATATTATATAATTATTCGTTAAACCGTAAAAAGTTACGGGTATAAAACACGTGTAAAACACGTGTTAAACGTTTATAACTTTTTACGGTAAAATAAAACGGTTATATTAAAGATTTAATTAATTAAATTAATCGGTTTAATTAATTTATTCGTAAATTTAAAATTATTATATAAATTAATAAAATTATTTTTTATAAATATTTTTAATTTTTTATTTAATTATCGATTAAATTAATTATAATTTTTTAAATTTATTTATATAAACGATAATATAAATTATAAATTAAAAATTTATATAAATTAAAAGTTTATAATTTTAAACTTTTTATATTTAATTAAACATTATTTAATTATAACGCATTTAATTTAATTAAAATTTAATTAATTTTTTTTATTAATATTTTTTAATTTAATTTAATATGTTTACGCATTATAATTTATATTTTTATAAATATTATAACATTAAAAAATTTATTAAAACTTTTATAAAACATTATTTTTAATAATAATATTATTAATTATAACATTATTACTTTTTTTTTTTAATTTAAATAATATTTTTTTTAATTTAAATAAAAAATCTTTTACGTTATAATTATTTATTTTTAACTTTTTAATATTTAAAAAACACGTAATTTATTTTTTAAAAATTTATAACTTTTTTTTTTAATAAAATTATTTTATATAATAATTTATATATAATTTTATTTAATTTATTTATAATTTTAAAAATTTTAATTAATAAATTAAATTA